TCGTCGTATCTCGCTCTCGTGTTCTGTGCATACATCCCAGGTGAGTTTAGTGATACGCCCTTTGGTCGATTCATACGAAAAATCAGACTGGCATTCCCATTTCTGAAATGTCGTAATTAGTAGACTTTTGTGAGTTTTTTTCGCCGCCATCTCAAACTTTCATCCACGCGATTCCTCGGTTTGCGGACTAAAATAGCAACCCGCATGCGCACATAACGTTATCTGTTGTGTCCCCCCCAACACTGAAAACAAAACGAAATGAAAGTAAATTAGAAAAGACACTCACACATCACACCACACCACAAACACACATACAGGCACAGTGAAATCGCGTTGATCACACAGTCAACTCGTGTGCGGTGACTCTTATGGTTAAACTATTTTTCGGTACCGTTAAAATGACGCTACAGAAACAACACGCTACCGGTAACAGTTGTTACCGTGAAATCCTCAGGCTTGCCGTAGTTTTTTTTTTTTACTTTATTTTTTTTATTTTTTATTTTATTTTATTTTATTTTTTTTTTTTTATTGTTTTAACTGAGAAATTTCGTTGCGTCCCAAAAACGCACATTATTTGTAACTGTGCGTCCCGTGTGAAAATTCTGCGTCTAGGATGCGGGACACAGAGGTAACGAGATGGCTGATGTCGAAACATTCTCTGAGTACTACTATTATTACCACTACCACTAATACTACATTAATTAATTTAATACCTTCAACTTCACAATAATAATAAAAAATTGAATCATCCATGATTTTAAACTATGTCTTATCAATATTCATTATTCCAAACATGAGAAAGAATTCAGCAAACATAACTGGAATCGAGCAAAAGGACTCCAAATCCCAACAGCCAAACCCGGAAGTGAAGTGCCGGCATTATTGACTCCAGCTGTAACGCAAATTCCTTGTTTCAAACAAACATTCAAGTGCCACCGCACAAACGTGACGACTGTGCAAAAATAACTAAATAAAAGACACCACTGTTACAGAAAGGCTTTACACGCTATTTAAACTGCCGATCGCGAACGGAAAGAACCGTGATTGAAACTAACTTGCGCTGTCACCTGTCAGTTGCAGTCCCGCCCCTCTTAAAGCGCCAGATAAATTCATCAATATGGGTTTCCCTGGATGGATTTTGTTTGATTTCTTCATGATTTTTGCGATCCTCGGGCCCACTTTATACCTGTGGACGAGGGATTAGAGGCTCTAATCCCTCGTTGTGTCCGAGGACCGACAACCCGAGGCCAAGGCTAAGGACTTGACTACGAGGCCAAGGACCAAGGACCGACCTTCGGTCCCCCCAGCCCGGTGGGGCAAAAATGAGCACATAACACCATCCAGTGTGGGTCCTTGGGCAAGATCCTTCACGCTAATGCCTACCTCATACAATGATGAGAGACAATAAAATGAATGACATGCCGGCTCAGATGTCGCCCGGCCAAACAAGGTCTGCGTCATTGACGAGGTACAACGCAGCGTCCGCGGTGAAGGGCCCCAGGCTGCCAGATCAGAGGAGGAGGTCATTGGGAGGCAAGCCCAATGACCTCCACCTGTCCTTCAGGCCAGCCCTCTCTAGCCACTGACAGGACTTCTTGAGATCAGCCACTTCAGTTCTGGTCCGGTGGTACATCCCGTGTTGGGGCTTGTCCTCCCATGATGGTCCCTCTTCCAGCACCTCATCCTCTGTTCCCCATTGTCTGAGACATTCTCTGAGTACGTCATCCGTTGGAGCCTTCTCCTTGATGTATTCATGGAGCTTGGATGTTTCATCCTGGACAGTGGCTCTCACACTCACTAGTCCCCGGCCTCC